AAAACGTGTCTCATTCAAAACACCCCTCCCACCCAGCCAATCACTGATGATATTGATTCAGATGTTACGCCATCTTGGATACAGCGGCTTGTCGGAGTAGAAGGAAGATTAATTGAATAAAATCCTCAAGACGTTAAAATGCTGATCATTCTTTAATAAGTTCCTCTTCAAACAGACTTGCAGCGTTTTTCTTTAAAAGCTAATGTGTGTTTTATGTTTTATGCACAAAACTACAACAAAAACCAGACTGAATCAGGAAATAAAACAGCGTGATTGGCTGTAAGGAGAGCAGAGACAGAGGACACTATGTAATGCGTAGTACTATGGGTATGCTGGCCTGATGGTGTATGCTGAGCTGACAGAACACCAGTTCAATGTCCAGGTCAGAGTCAAATGTGACACAAATACCGATATCAGCTGCTGGAGATCAGGGCTGCTCCTCTGATAACGCTGATCCAGACATACATGAATGTTATCACACCCACACAGACACCTGGAAGTGGCACTAATGATTATCAGAGTGGGTGGAGCCAATAAACACAGAGGTGGAGGTGAAGTACTGTGTTGGAGTTTAAAACAAAACAAACACAGAAAAAAAAAGGCCTCTACTGATCTGGTAGTAAAGAAAGTGATCTAAGTGAACGCAGGCGTGGAGGCGGCGTGTGACTGAGAGGAAGGATTACTGATAACTGCTATTAGCTCGGCCGCAGACAGCAGCAGCAGCACAGACCTGGCTTGACTCGCCCAGGCTGAGGAGAAGCTGTCATGTGTCGACCGCTGAGGTATAAATAAACAGTAAATGCTCCCAGACCTACAAGGCACGGCCCCGAAGAGAGCTGTAAGCTGAGGTACCAGCCTTAAGAAGAGATTAGCTAAAGCCTCTATTAGCCAGGGCTTCCAGACCCAGGGGCTGTTTACTCAAAAGTCTGGCTGGATCTGAGCGAACAAAGCAGGAACTGGAAGAACGCGAAGGCAGAGAAAAAAACACTCTGGCTGCAGACGTTTTACAGACCGGAGCGCCGGCTGTACAGGCGGGCCGTGATCAGGCTCAGAGGACTGAAAGATCCGCCTCAATGCAGAGCAACTCCTCTGGAAACGCGCCCTGCTGCCCAATGGTTCAAATGAAGCTTTACATACGTTTTATAACGGAACAGAATGTAGGGCTGAAAGGAGAATCTGAAAAGTGTGGCATGCATGTACTCCCCGTTTACTCCAACGCCCCTAAAACTAAACATCCAGTGAAACCAGCAACCCTTCAGTCCCTGGATGAATGGAAACTGTCCATCTGTGTGCTTTTCAAACCCAGCTGGAGCTGGAGGAGCTGCAGAGACCCACAGCTCAGGTGTAACAACCTGCTGACTGGATGAATTAATGTTCACGCTCCCCGCAGGCCGGACCTTCAAGGAAGAGTGACGAATCTGAAGCCATACTTCCCATTTAACGAATAAAGTTAGCAAGGGAGACGAGGAGGAAGGTGATCTGCTCTGAGGGAACCAATGAACTTTGTGGGAACTGAATCATTTCTTTTCTACTATAAATCTGTTTTCTACTTTTAAGAACATAAAACATCAAAACTGACCTGTTATTTGAAGTAGGGCTGCAACTTATGATTGTTTAGCAAATCCATTCATCTGTCGATTATTTATTTATTTTATCCAGCTTGAGCTATCTCTATAGTTCTGCTGCTATAGGCTTAGACTGCTGGAGGACATAGGGACCCCTTTTTCATCATTCTGCTTCATTCTATCTCTATTCTCCCACTCTGCAGAATCTGTTAGTCCAATCACTAACCTTCTGCTCTCTCTGCTTTTTCTCATAGTAGCTTCATCTGGTCTGTTCCTTTTGGCTGTGACTCCATCCTGGAGAGAAATATCAGCTGTGCTGCTGCCATCAACACCTTTGTTTCTAGATGTTGGAGCTTGGCCTGTTTTCCAGTGTAGTCCTGTTTCTCTGACTGTGACTAACTGGATGTGCTCTCTTCATCCTCTGACATGGGAGCTGGCTCGGAGCTCGTCTGCCTGGCTGTGTGTTTCCTGGACGGGGCCGCCTGTGGAGCTGGTTGACAGTTGCCTTTTGTATCTATGCTTCTTTTTCTATGTCTGCTTCTGTCTCCTTGAACCCCAGTGGGCCTCAGCAGATGGCCGCTCACACTGAGCCTGGTTCTGCTGGAGGTTTCTTCCTGTTCAAAGGGAGTTTTTCCTCTCCACTGTCTCTACACGCATGCTTAGTGTGAGGGATTGCTGAAGAGTCAATGAGTCGATGCAATCAGCTGGTTTTCCTTAGATAGAAAACTTTGAATCAATCTGACTGGATGATCTGGTTGAACTGGAAAGTGCCTTAATATGTGTTGTGAATTGGCACTATAGAAATAAACTGAATAGAATTAAAAATGTTTAGAGATTTTTTTCAATCTTGGTCTAATTCCTGCTCTAAGTGGGTCGCTCTTTCAGCTGAAGGCATGTTTTAGAGTCTCTATACTTAATAAAGTAGTTGACAACTATATTAATAATCAATTAATCTGATTATTTGTTTGAAGCAACATAAAGTTCACGGTGGATTAAAAGAGTTTTTGTTTGAAATAAGCCAGAAGTGCAGCAAGCAAGACGAACTCAGCAGTTGGGAGGAATTAATGGGCTAACAATATAATAATCATCTATGGCCGTGGCAATGGCTTCCTATTAAAGCCTGCCTGGCCTAATTAGCATGAATGTTTAATGAAGTCTTTAAAAGTGCAGACGCTGGGCGCTGCGCCGCATCAACACCCCCGCTCTGGCATGACAACAAACGACAGGAGACACAAAGCCGAGTCCGGATAATGTTTTTGACAACAGATATGAGCCGGCCTCTAGAATCTGCTCACTATTGTTTCAGTGAACCAACACAATAGGCTGAGGCTGGATGACAAAGACGCGGCTGGGCAGAGATGAATGGAGCAGAGCCGGCGCATGAATCATGAAGTCCACTTCAGATTGCTCAAATTATCCCTGAATCTATTAGCCTTGAAAGCTAAACCACCCTGGGTTTGTTTCCCGCTCTGAGGGCTGCAGACCTTCACCTATAGATTTCATTTTGGATGGAAATAAACAGTTTAAATTCACAGAAACAGGGCAGAGTGGGTTTCCCTGCAGTGGTTTATGGTTCCGTCTTTTGCCCTGCAACGCTGCTATCTTCTCCTCCTCTCACGCTGCGGCTGTTGCACGGTGGGAACATCGCTAGGCAGATTCTTTCCACAATTAACTCCCTCTCTCCCTGCATGTTCCAGTCCCCTGGCAGGACATTCTCCCAGTGCCCTTCAGACAGACTGGGATGTGTATCAAGTAGTGGTGCTGCGGGACGAGGCAGACTCAGAGGGAAGAAGAAAGAGCGGAACAAAGTTTACCAGGGTAGGGGTGGAGTCATGCTGGGGGATCATTAACTTCTGACAACCGTTGATAACAAATAAAACTAATCAGAAACTTTAGATTCAAACCCTCCATTCAATGGCGGCTGGCAGATCTTCATGATGGGCTGAATCTAAGGAGGAAAGGTGGCCACATTTGTTAACGACTCACTTCCGACTCCACTGAGTATCATCAGTAAAGTAATCTAAGAAAACTCCTGGGATTAGCGTCCCCCCCCCCCCCTCATTCGGCCGGCCTGCTGGATGTTTTTCACCACCCCTGAAATAGGAAGCAGAGACTCCGCAGCTGCTTTCTGTGCGTCATTTATCTGCTTAATTTGGATAAACACCCTGCAGCGACACAAGTTATCTACATTTTATTTATATTAAATATAAAATTTAGATAAATATTATAAAAAAAATATATATTTTTTTTTTATTAGAGTGGCTCAGGTTATCCTGAGCTATCTCTATAGTTCTGCTGCTATAGGCTTAGACTGCTGGAGGACATAGGGACCCCTTTTTCATCATTCTGCTTCATTCTATCTCTATTCTCCCACTCTGCAGAATCTGTTAGTTCAATCTCTAACGTTCTGCTCTCTCTGCTTTTTCTCATAGTAGCTTCATCTGGTCTGTTCCTGTTTGGCTGTGACTCCATCCTGGAGAGAAATATCAGCTGTGCTGCTGCCATCAACACCTTTGTTTCTAGATGTTGGAGCTTGGCCTGTTTTCCAGTGTAGTCCTGTTTCTCTGACTGTGACTAACTGGATGTGCTCTCTTCATCCTCTGACATGGGAGCTGGCTCGGAGCTCGTCTGCCTGGCTGTGTGTTTCCTGGACGGGGCCGCCTGTGGAGCTGGTTGACAGTTGCCTTTTGTATCTATGCTTCTTTTTCTATGTCTGCTTCTGTCTCCTTGAACCCCAGTGGGCCTCAGCAGATGGCCGCTCACACTGAGCCTGGTTCTGCTGGAGGTTTCTTCCTGTTCAAAGGGAGTTTTTCCTCTCCACTGTCGCTACAAGCATGCTTAGTGTGAGGGATTGCTGAAGAGTCAATGAGTCGATGCAATCAACTGGTTTTCCTTAGATAGAAAACTTTGAATCAATCTGACTGGATGATCTGGTTGAACTGGAAAGTGACCTGAGATGACATGATGTGAATTGAAGCTATAGAAATAAACTGAATAGAAAATCAATATACGTTACAAACACCTGAAGGATTTCTGATGAAAATGATGGAAAGTCTTCTGAAGTTTTATTAAACTCTAGATTCCCTCAAAACTTGAAGGTAATTCAGGTCTAAATTTAAGATGTTGTATATTTTTTTGCATCATGGTAGAAAGTCTCTGTTCTAACATAAACACCAGATTATTACCAGTTAATTAAACTAGTTAAGCAGGTTTATTTCTAATCAAAGAATGAAAACATTTAAGCTGAAAACATTTAGCTTTTTTTTTATGGAAACTGATGGAAGGAATACCTTTGATCTCTGACAGCTGGATTTATTCTCATCTTTAAAAACTTTCCAGGAATAAACAGACTTTATGTTTGTTAATCTGATGATCAATAATCCCCATCATCATCATCATAAAGTGTGGCCCAGCGGAGCTCCAGGTGTTTCTGACCTTTAACCAGCCGCTCAGTGGTGGACTGCTTCTCCTTCCCGGACATCTCTGCTCCGGCTGCTCCTGCCTTCAGGGGGGAGATCAGGGTTTGTGGCTCCGGCTGGCCGGGGTGGAGTTAGCGCATCGGTCTCAGCTCCGGCTGGGTTCCTGCCAGCCCGGTTAAAAATTAATAAACAGACCTAAATAAACCAAAGTAGCGGTTCTGGGAGGAAATTAGCTAAAAGCGGCAGCGAAAACAGTCACGGTCCATTCAGGCTGCTGTCAGCGGCAGCTGGGATACCTGGAGGAAGCTGCCGTTAGCAGGTAATCCGATTTATCCCAGCTAGTTAGCCGCTAACATCCTGCAGGCGGTGGGAGGCAGCGGTCAGCCTCATTCTCTCTGCCCGCCCGCCGCCCGGCGCGGAAAAACAACAGCAGGAGCTGGAAATGCAGAAAAACCCGGAGAGACACGACTCCTTCAGAGAGAGAGAGAGAGTGCATGTAGGCTGTCACTTCACCGCACCTCCTCCTCCTCCTTGGATTAAACTCTAATCTGACAGGGAGTGAGGAGCAACAAGGGGCGGGTTTCCTCCTCCAACATGGCGGCGGCCGATGTGACAGGACTATGATGGGAAGGGAGCGTTAACTCTGAGACAGTAGAAGACTAATCAGAGTTTAATTTTTATTTTTCACACTTTAATAGAATAGAAATATACTAATAGAAAGGTTTTCCTTAAAGTTGCAACTTCAGAAAAAAAAAATGGCAACACTTGTCCATAAGTTAGAGAAGTAATCAGGACCTAATGAGGACTTCAGTGATGATTAATGAGGCAACTAGAAGCCAAACTGTATTGATACTGCCTCATAGAACACTGACACCTGCTGGACATTTAAATACACTACAGGCAGTTTATCTGACAGAATAAACTGAATTGATTTGATGACCTAGTACAAAAGGCGTTTTTAGACCATTTTGGGGGGGGCGGGGGGTGCTGAAGCTCCTTAAATTTAATCTTAGCACTCCTAAAGTATGGGTTGTCTTTTTTTATTATTCTATGCACCTTTTAACAAAAAAAATTATATAAGTATGAATTTTAATTTTCTGTATCAGGAGTGTCTAAACTAATATATATATATATATATATATATATATATAAATAAAACCTTATTAAATAGAATCCATTTTAGGATTGCCAGTCCAAAGAGAGAGTTTTACAAGAGGGAGAGGAGAAAAGTGGAAGGTGAAGAAAAGCAGGTGAGTTTAGGTACAGCTCGTCCAAGCAGACAAAAACACAGGAAGACAAAACACAAAAGTCTCAGATACGATGTGTTTGTGAAAGATAGTTATTAGCAAAAAGCATTGAGCAAGTTCCAAAAATATCGAACATGTAAGTAGAAAATGTAGAAATGTATCTTGCCCGGGTGCTCAGCAGCACCACTGAACCTCTAATCCTAGAATCACCCCTGCTTAGTACAATGATATGATTGAAGATATTTTAGGTTTTATTGTATTACTTCATATCTATGTTTAAATTGATATCTAAATATCTTTATTTTTAGATGCAGCCAATAAATAATGTAAACATATAAGGTAATAATTTAGGGAAAACTGTGAATAAGGATGCTTGTGGACTAGGATTTAAATCATATTTTTACAGTAAATAAACTAAGAGTCAATTTGAAATGAACTTTAATTCAGATAAGTTGAGTGATAACTAAGAGGAAAAGGACACAACCAGAAAATTAAAATAAAAACCCAACGTCTGAAACATTTCTATTCTTTTTAGGCTCCAAAGTCTTCATCATTTTAATTATAAACTACAAAAGATGCATTTTATTAGCAGATGCATCATGTTGACAGATACATTTTTAAACACAGTTTAGTGAATCAGTCCGTTAGAAACAACTCCTGTAACGGTCACATGGCTTCCTGGAATCAACGCGCACCGATCCAGTGTTTTGATCTATGGCAGCAGTGGAATATTCCAGATCCTGGAGTTCAGTATCCTGCAACATTTAGACCCATCCTTGGTAAAACACACCTGAATCAAATGGCTGAGTTTCCTCCTCAACATAGAGTCAGTTCTTCCAGAGTCCTCTCAATCATCTAATTATTTGATTCAGTTTTACAGATTATATGGACACTGAAATGTTAGCAAAACAAGAAAGGAAAAAGAGAAAAGATGAAAGACATAAAAGGGAGAGAATGATAAAACATTTTCAGTCCGCTTCATCACCTGCAGAGAGATGTAAAAAGAACAGAACAAACAAAGGATATAGTATAAGATGAGGTCTTCAACAGGGGGTCAGAGACCCCTAGGGGTCCACAGAGGTACTGCATGCTACTGCAAAGTTTTAGTTGATTACTTTCTTTTTTTTGTATCCCCCTGCAATTTTTTCCACTAATTTAATGTCTTTAAATCCACATTAACATGAATTCAACAGACTGTAGTAAACAGATAAATGGAGGCAGAAGATGTCTTTCAGTCATTAATGCTCACATTCAGCGACACACAGGAGCTCTTTCAAGCTGGGCACCGTTTCATTCACAACACCTGTCCCATCAACCAGGAATCAGATATACTTTAATAATCCCAGGGAGGGATTACTTTAGTTACATTACTCCATCTGATAGAGTGACTATAGGACCAGTTTGATATAATTTCATACAATACGCTCCATCTCGCCATCAGTTTGGCGGGAAAACGTTGAAGACTCCTGAATTAAATGATTTATATAGACTCATTTTATTTTGAAAGGAGAAGCTGTGTAGAGCAGTGAGGTCGGCCTGGTCGTCACCCCCAGCATGGCGCCTAGCTCAGTCACCATGAATTCATCAAAGAGAAGGAGGCGGGACAACTGGTACAAAAAAAATTATGATTTATTGAACCTGAAAATAGCATTAAATTCCACTGGAACATTCATTAAAAGTAAATACCTACAACATTACACTGAAATCATCACCAACCACATTTAAAAACAACCCACTGATGCAGAGGATCAGTTCGCAGTAAAACAGCAGCAGTTAAAGGAGTCGGAGGAAAAAGGAAAGTGTCCATGCAGAAGAATCTGGGCTTCTCACGTTTCTTCTAGATGCAAACTAAACGATCTAAAGAGGGAAATCCCTTCAGAGGCTAGTTATTCACTTCTGGCTTCATTTGAAGGGAATAGTTCAGAATCTTTGAGGCCAGGTTCTGATGGCGAGCAGTCAGACCGGCGTGCCCCGGTCAGACCAGCGTCAGACCGGCGTACCCCAGTCAGACCGGCGTCAGACCGGCGTACCCCAGTCAGACCGGCGTCAGACCGGCGTACCCCAGTCAGACCGGCGTCAGACCGGCGTACCCCAGTCAGACCGGCGTACCCCAGTCAGACCGGCGTACCCCAGTCAGACCGGCGTCAGACCGGCGTGCCCCAGTCAGACCGGCGTGCCCCAGTCAGACCGGCGTCAGACCGGCGTGCCCCAGTCAGACCGGCGTCAGACCGGCGTGCCCCAGTCAGACCGGCGTCAGACCGGCGTGCCCCAGTCAGACCGGCGTCAGACCGGAGTACCCCAGTCAGACCGGCGTCAGACCAGAGTACCCCAGTAAGACCGGCGTACCCCAGTCAGACCAGAGTACCCCAGTAAGACCGGCGTGCCCCAGTCAGACCAGAGTACCCCAGTCAGACCGGCGTGCCCCAGTCAGACCAGAGTACCCCAGTCAGACCGGCGTGCCCCAGTCAGACCGGCGTGCCCCAGTCAGACCGGCGTCAGACCAGCGTACCCCAGTCAGACCAGCGTACCCCAGTCAGACCAGCGTCAGACCAGAGTACCCCAGTCAGACCGGCGTCAGACCAGCGTACCCCAGTCAGACCGGCGTCAGACCAGCGTACCCCAGTCAGACCAGCGTACCCCAGTCAGACCAGCGTACCCCAGTCAGACCGGCGTCAGACCAGCGTACCCCAGTCAGACCGGCGTCAGACCAGCGTACCCCAGTCAGACCAGCGTCAGACCAGCGTACCCCAGTCGGACCAGCGTACCCCCGTCGGACCAGCGTACCTATAGTCAAGACGCAAGACGTCAGATTTGCGTTTAACCCTTTAGTTTTGTACGAAAAAACAAGTTCGGATAACAATACGCTTCAAAAACACCAAAAATAAGTAACTAGTTTCTTTTTTGTAAAGATTATTTTTCATGCAAAACTAAAGAGATAAACTAAAGGAGATAAACGGGTTTTGACCAAGAGTACGCTGGTCTGACTGGGTATGCTCATCTGACAGAACAGCGGCGTTTACTACAGGAGCCCCGCCCACTGAGAAGAGAACCTGGAATTGTTTCAGTCATCGACTCCCCGACAGGAAACGACGGCGTCTACTGCAGCCAAGACATGAGCCGCTAACAAAGCCTCACCTCAAAGATCTGGAACCATCTCTATACGCATCGGGAGGGGGGGGGGGACATAAAGTAATCAGCACAGCGTCACTGTGAGGCGTAGGCACTCGTGGCTCTTGAACAGTGCACAGGTTGGGGTGATGGTGGGGGGGGGGTTCTTGCATGTTTCCAAAAAGAATCAAAGCATCACAAAGGATAGGCTGGGAGTCATGGCGGAGGACTCCACTAAATGCTTGGTTCAGCCCAAATAACGGGGCGAGTGGAACGGATCCAGAGCGACGCAGGAAGTCTTTGGTGCTCGGCGTGGAACGGAGCGGAGCCAAGGTTCCTACTGAGGGCGTTAGAACAGACATCATGGGAGGGGCGCTGCGGGACAACGGGAGCCCATAAGGTCCAACACACGCCTGCAGCGTCCAGGCGGGGGCCGGGCTCCCTGACCCCATCCCTCCCTCCCTCCTCACAGGGGTTAATCAGAAATCCTGGCTAAACATTCCTACGTACCTTCTAATGTAGTTAAACGATAAATCCCAGCAGAGATGCAGCTTTTGGCTGAATATTGGAAACTGCACAGTAATCGGGGTCTCTCCTGGCTTCATGCGGCGCTGACTCGGCATGCTCTGATGGAGATGGTGGGCAGGAAGTCCTGCCGTTTGCTTCCCTGATCCAGCTCCTTTCTCTGAAGGGACTGGCTGGGAGGAACCACAGAGTCCCACCACATTTCTGATGGTTTTTTACCTGGATGGGCACTGATGGGCGAGAGGGAATCCAGGGAGGTTAGAGGAGGTCTGCCTGGGATGGAGGCGGTCGGACCGACCAACGGTCTGCTGCCGGGCAAGATCCCAGAAGGCAGACGACATGGAAACATTGTTCTCAGAGGAGTTCCAGTTGTCTTTGAAAAACAGAACGTCGGAAAAGGAAAAAACTTGGAGGAACTTATTGAATGATGAAGCCGGGCTGAGGGGCCAGGCGGGGCGGGGGCCTCTGAGGCAGAGCGGGGGGGTACTGAGAGAGGTAGTGGCTGGGGTAGGCGGCGGGGACGCTGGGGAAGGGCTGCCCTGTCCTGGGAGGGATGGGCGGGTACTGCGCCGGCTGGCAGAAGAACGGAGGCTGGGGGGCCGCCGCCGGAGCCTGGTTCAACACCGGAGCTGGCTGAGAGGGAGGGGGGGGAGGTTTCCTCCTGGCCTGAGCGGCCGGAGAGGAGCTGCTGCTACCGCCGCCGTCGGCGAGGAGGGACGACACCGCCGCAGGAACGTCCTGGAGGCGGGAGGAGGAAGAGGGGGCGGCGGCCTGGGGGAGCTGCTGGCCCTTAGCCACCATCTCCTGCAGCTTCTCGATCTTCACCCGTCTGAGGTGGGCCAGCTTCCTCTTGCTCTGGTAGGAATCGATGAAGGCATCCAGGGTCATGTCGCCATCCAGGAAGGAGTCGGCCATGTTCTGCGGGCACAAGCAAAGACGGGTTCAGTTCTACAGACACCCAGAAGGCCCGGCTCAGAAACGGCGCCCATGGGATCTGGACCATCACTGAACTGATCCAGAGATGATTAAAGATTTCAGTCATGCTTTACTCGCCTCCTGCAGTAACTTAAAACCTCCAGCAGGGGTCAGTATTCAATGACCGTTTGCAAATGTCTCGAAACTACGGTGGCCCTGAAGTGCAAACTGCAACTACAAATCTAAAAGCGCAACTACATTAAGAAAAACACAACTACATGAACCTACCGGAAAAGATAGGTACCAGTGGGAAACATGACACATCGCTGATTGGACGCCGTTTGACCCTTGAACCGGAAGTTGCGTCGTCTGAACAGTCCAGCTTCTTTTAAGTGTGTCTTCAGTGTACGCAAACTAACTGAGATTTTGTGATTAGTCTTGAGCATATCCAGTATCCCCTCGTACGTATGTCCTGATTCAAAATATTCCTGGATAACGGCGGCTATGTTTGGGGCGCCGACAATATCCATGTTTTCAAAAGCCACAGCAAGCAGAATGACTTCCGGTTCAAGGGTCAAACGGCGCCGTCGTCCAATCAGCGATGTCTCATGTTTCCCACTGGTACCTACCTTTTCCGGTAGTTTAATGTAGTTGCGATTTCCTTAATGTAATTGCGCTTTTAGATTTGTAGTTGCAGTTTGCACTTCAGGGCCACCGTACGAAACGCTTCATAATGTACGGAAGCTGAGGGCGGTCAAACTCGACTGTTTTTCCTCTTTGCCCTATCTCGTTATCAGGAGAAAACAGTTATTGATTTCTTGAGATAACGAGATGATTAACCTGTCAGAGAAATGAGGCTGACCATCAGCCCTGGATTCCCAGTCCATCCACGCCTGCGGGGCCGTAGTTGTGGGGTCGCGGTACGGCATGTTTTTTATGAAAATCTTTAAACTGGACTCATTTTGGGGGTTAATGCATCTTATACCCGTTACAGGTGGAACACCGGGGCTGTTCAGAAAACACCCGTCGCCAAGCGCACCAGGGGCGTAGATCTAATTGCTTATGAATCAGAAGTGGAATCATATCAAACCAACGTCGTCGTCTCGTTATCTATGGGTTAAGCTCAGGATTATTTACAGAGTTACACACTGGCTGCCATGACTAATAAATCCTCTCCCGCTGTTGTGGGCTTGAAAGATGGAATCGGTTTTAACACACAATCATCTCACTATGACGATAAAACGGCTTTCGTTATTTTATTAATTTATTTTCTTTGGATAATGAGAAAATCATTTCGTTTTCTGGAGAAAACCACCGCGAAAAAGTACCTGAGGGACACGACCGCTCTGGGCTTCCGTAATGACCAACCCGTCACTACTTTACATTTTATAAAAATCTCAGGAAAATAGATATAAATGGGACAAAGATGTCGGAGAGTGAAACCAGCCTCTCATTTAACCCAGGAAATAATTCAGGGACGTCAGAGCTGTAGTGTATGGAGGACCAACTCTGCCATATTTAAAAATAAATACAGAAATAAATAAATGCTCAATAAATATATAAGCATACAATTAATTGCGAACAAAAATAAAAAACAAATAAATGTAAGTAGAAATTAAATTATACAGTTAGACAAATGTATATAACTCTTTTAATTAGCTTCTTTATTTATTTGCCTTTGTAATATTTATGTTATTATTTTTTTGTCCTTTATATATATATATATTTTTTTTTTACATTTCTGTATGCATTTCTGCCTCATTATGCAAATGCTTATATTGATTTATTTCTGTATTTATTTCTAAATATGGCCGAGTTGGTCCTCCATAGGAGGGAACGCTGCCTTCCTCTAAGGTCACACCATGTTTGTTGGCACAGCAGTGACGACACAGACTTCATTTTCTTTAAAGAGATTTCAAAAGACTGAACCTGCCAACTTTGACATCAACAAGTTTCGGGAATAAATAAAGCTTTAGGATTTTAATCTAAAAAAGAAAAAAAACAATACAAAATAAACAGAATTAGCTCTCATATAGGAAAATAATTTACACATAGCAGAGGTCTGTATCCAAAATACAGCCGTCCATCCTGGATTAACCACATTCCTCTACCACCAGGGGGCGCCCTGCTTCCGTTTAGGAAACAAATTTCTTATCATCCCAAACGATTTGGATGAGAGATTTAAAAAGGTAAAATGTGCAGATGATTAAAATATTCAGCCTTACATAGAAAGTATGACTCCTATTTCTAAACCGATTCGATCGTTGCAGATGTTCCAGAGGTGGAAGGAAACAGAAAGGAGTGGAGGGGAAGGCAGGTGGATGAGGTCATCCATGGGGGGAGCTGCAGAAGGCTTACCTCCGTCTCTTCCTCTATTTTGGCTCCTTCTGTCTGCAGCAGGGCCAGCAGCGTGTCCAGGGAGGAGTTTCCTGACTTATGGTCTGTTAAACGAGAAGGGAAATAAAAGAAGGAAATGTTAAGATTCTGCTTTAACGGACAAAAACGGAAAATATGCTGCTGAAGATTCCCAGTCATCCAGGTCATAGTAATAAAAAAAAAAAAAAAAAAAAGTTAAAAAACAATCCACTGGACTTTGTTTCCAAGTTTAAAGACGTTTCTCTTCCATCCAGGAAGCTTGTTCAATTCCAAATGTCAGAAATAGCGTTTAGTTCCAGGTTTTATCCAGCAGCCCAACAAAGCCTGGTTTTAGTTAAGAAAACATGCAAATAGAAACAGATGAACGGGTCCCCCCCTTTGGAATGGGAGTCGTTTGGCTTCTTTGTTAGCCTGCAATGCCCCATACCTGTCTATGTCTCTGAAAGGAAGGTTGTTAGGTAAGGGGCATTGCAGGCTAACAAAAGAAGCCAAACGACCCCCATTCCAAAGTGGTGGACCAGTTCTTCCGTTTCCATTTGCATGTTTTGTTTGGGCTACTGCATAAACCTGAAACTCAACGCTATTTCTGACATTTTGAATTGAAAAAGGTTCCTGGATGGAAGAGAAACGTCTTCAAAATTGGAAACAAAGTCCAGTGGATTGATTTTTTTTACTTTTTTTGGAAAGATGGGAAATGTTTGACGTGTCCGCCTGAAGAGGTCTGGTCACCTGGACTGTAGGAGTGATATACACTATATTGCCAAAAGTATTTGCTCACCTGCCTTGACTCACATATGAGCTTAAGTGACATCCCGTTCCTAATCCATAGGGTTCAATATGACGTCGGTCCACCCTTTGCAGCTAGAACAGCTTCAACTCTTCTGGGACGGCTGTCCACAAGGTTTAGGAGTGTGTTTATGGGAATTTTTGACCATTCTTCCAGAAGCGCATTTGTGAGGTCGCACACTGATGTTGGACGAGAAGGCCTGGCTCTCAGTCTCCGCTCTAATTCATCCCAAAGGTGTTCTATCGGGTTGAGGTCAGGACTCTGTGCAGGCCAGTCAAGTTCATCCACACCAGACTCTGTCATCCATGTCTTTATGGACCTTGCTTTTTGCACTGGTGCACAGTCATGTTGGAAGAGGAAGGGGCCAGCTCCAAACTGTTCCCACAAAGTTGGGAGCATGGAATTGTCCAAAATGTCTTGGTATGCTGAAGCATTCAGAGTTCCTTTCACTGGAACTAAGGGGCCAAGCCCAGCTCCTGAAAAACAACCCCACACCATAATCCCCCCTCCACCAAACTTTACACTTGGCACAATGCAGTCAGACAAGTACCGTTCTCCTGGCAACCGCCAAACCCAGACCCGTCCATCAGATTGCCAGATGGAGAAGCGCGATTCGTCACTCCAGAGAACGCGTCTCCACTGCTCTAGAGTCCAGTGGCGGCGTGCTTTACACCACCGCATCCGACGCTTTGCATTGCACTTGGTGATGTATGGCTTGGATGCAGCTGCTCGACCATGGAAACCCATTCCATGAAGCTCTCTGCGCACTGTTCTACAGCTAATCTGAAGGCCACATGAAGTTTGGAGGTCTGTAGTGATTGACTCTGCAGAAAGTTGGCGACCTCTTCGCACTATGCGCGTCAGCATCCGCTGACCCCGCTCCGTCAGTTTACGTGGCCTACCTCTTCGTGGCTGAGTTGCTGTCGTTCCCAAACACTTCCATTTTCTTATAATACAGCTGACAGTTGACTGTGGAATATTTAGGAGCGAGGAAATTTCACGACTGGATTTGTTGCACAGGTGGCATCCTATCACAGTTCCACGCTGGAATTCACTGAGCTCCTGAGAGCGACCCATTCTTTCACAAATGTTTGTAAAAACAGTCTGCATGCCTAGGTGCTTGAATTTATACACCTGTGGCCATGGAAGTGATTGGAACACCTGATTCCAATAATTTGGATGGGTGAGCAAATACTTTTGGCAATATAGTGTATATGGGTTTTATGTTTCCTTGAGAGCATGATATAATTTGTTTTTGTACTAACGAACTCTCGGTGCCATGCTCTGGCCATGATGTAATAATGTTTTTGGTTTTGGCTGTCCACGAGCCCTGGGTGGGTTCGGGGGATATTTTGGTTTCTGTAATCATGCGCTCCAGGCGTGAGAGGGAGCGATCACTTTTCCTGATTGGGTGAAAGATTTTCCTTTGAAGTTTGGCATAAATGGCAGGTGGCGGTTGGCACGGGCAGAGTCTGCTTGGGTTGCGTACAGACGCCTAGCTGCGCGGGTTGCTGGTTTGGGGCCGACTGGCTCTCCGATCCTTGTGTCACGGTAGGGGGACAATATTGTATTCAGCACCGTGCCTTGATTGATGTGCTTGCTTTGCTGTGTTCTGTGGCCGAATAAAACGACACGTTTTACTTTAGCAGAAACCGTGTGTGTGTGTGTGTGTGTGTATGTATCTGTATGCCATCTTTATTACCGACTTTATTACCTGCCTAAATTTCATAATACAAGGAGGAACCTAAAGAACTACAGGCACAGAGAAACGCATCATGACTAATTAATTCATCAGCAGATTTTATAGCTTCAACTCCTTTTTTTGTCTTCTGTGCTAGGGATGCACAATATTGGGATTTTGGCCGATATCCGATATGCCGATATTTTAAAACTCATGTAGCCGATAACCGATATCGATACCGATGTTAAAGCTGGAGAAAAATAAGTAGTCATTGAAAATAGCAGTTTTGTTATCCATTTCTGACACTTTGAAAAATAATATACTCAAATATATTTTCATACGCTGATATCAAATAGATTTTTAAAAACGCGGTATCGATCTATTTTATTTTCAAAATCTCGTGAAATTTCATCGTTCTGTTACAAACTCTCGTGATATTTTGCAAAGTCTTGTGAGATTTTGTTAGTAAAATAGATCGATACCGCGTCAATATATCAACATATAAAAATATGGCAACATTTGGTGAATTTTCGGGGGATTTCGTAGCATAACGATGACATATAGCAATATTTCATTAGTAAAAGAGATTGATATGGTGTTTTTAAATGACAATATATCAGCATATGAAGATATTGGGATATTTTAATGGATCAATATTTTTTCCCTCGTCTTTAGAAGTTCTTAAGTCTGTAAAAAAGAAGTTTTTGAGGAAGAAGAAAAAGTAGTATTTTTTTATTTTATTTTTTAGACTTTAGAAACTCAGAAGCTGATCAAATATCGGGTTAAATATCGGTGGGGTGGACGATGTCCGATATTCAGTTTTAAGGCCGATACCGATAGGAGGCCGATTATATCGTGCATCCCTATTCTGTGTGGCAACAAATCCACTGTAGCGCCACCAAAAGGACTGGAGTGAGAATTTAGCGTGTTACTCTTGTAGTTGAGCATCTCTGCAATTTAAAAACTGTTTTATTAAATAGTGTTTTTATTCCAGATGCAGTCTATTGCCCAGCCCTGTTTTAGTTCCTGCTGTGTTTTTGTTCAGGTCTGAAAGTCAACACCAGCTGCAGCGAGAAGCTTTGAAACACAGCAAAGGGACAAATGACTCAGCAGTGATCAGCAAACTTACAGGAATTCCTTCAAATCTGTCGTTACATAGCAGCCTCCAGTCAAACCTGATTGGCGGTTCTCGCCAAACTCCACAATAAACATGCTGAGCAAAGACTGGATCTGTTTTCATTAATAAACGGTTTGAACAGGAGCTGCAGAATCTAAACCGCACAGAAGATCTCCATCAGCAGGGGAGGGAGGGGTTAAAACCAAGGAAAACTACCAAGTCTTATGTTGACATACAGGTTTGGTTTAGCTCCACCCCCTTATTTGAATACAGTGGAACGGCTCCACAGGATGGAGCATCAGCAGACGCCGGCTTTGCTCCAAGCAAAGGGAGAAAAGATGGAGAAGATCAGAGGTCAGCAGCATGGGGGCCTCCAGCCCTAGAGGTGTTAGGAGGTACTGCAGGGTACTGATGTTAGCTAATTGTCCACAACATGAGAAGCTGCTGCAGGGGTTTGCATCAGGACAAACCAGCAGGTGGCAGTAGTGTTCTTTGACAAACATGGATGCCTCCAGTAAAGCACATTAGAATGAAAATTACTCTTAATTAAAAACATTTATTGAACAGGGTGGAAATAATTTCTTATTTAAAGTACTTTAGGAAGTTTGAATTCTGAATACGAGCGGACTTCTCCTTTAAATTTTTTCCTTGCCTCAGCCACAACCAGGAGTCCAGTAGAGCAAAATCTCCATGACGATATAAGAACCTGCGGCCGTAAAACGACACGTTCTTCCAGGTCACATGACCTGGCCAGTGACTGTGCGTCTTCCAACTTACGTAATTGGTATTTGAAGAGGAGAGCCCCGCTGGCAGCACTGATAGTGTCAAGCGTTGTTTATTGGCCTGAGGAATCAGTTAAACTCGTTTACGTCAAACTCTTTATGTCACAAAGTCTGCGGTGTGCCTTTAAATTTCATCTTTATAAAAGAACAGAAGCAAACACTTGTTTTAAATCACTTATTGTGTTTGTTATGATCTCTCAGCATAAAGACTGCTAACATACGACTATTAGGTCAAACAAAAATGACCTAAAAACGATTAAAGCATAAATATGAGGTCATAATATAGAGTCTACAAAAGGAAAAATTCAAATACTGAGAATAAAGAGGTAATAAAAGGAGATTGAAATAAATAAAATACTCCAGGCTAAACTAATGAAGCTTGATTTACTCATATGACTTTACTCTCTTTAGGTTTTTCCAGCAATTTCATTTTCATAAATAACTAAATACTTGTTCCATAAGAAGCAGAGAACATGAGGTTAAAAGGTTTTCAGTGCGCCGGTTGTTCTTCTGAGACGTAACGACTGTAAATCCGTCAAAGCTGAACTCTGCTTATTGCTAAATATAGAAATAACATCATGTCTCTTCTGTAAGAAGCAAACAATGAAGCAGCAGTTAACCAGCCTGCAGAACTGGCTTAGAGTGACTGAGCACTTAGTCACAGCGATGGAGAACAGCGGCAGTAAGAGGAGCTGAGC